TAAATCATTCTTATATTTGCTACAAACATCTAAATCCAGCCGAGTCGTAGAAGAAAATGTTAGCATTGTACTTTTCTGAAAACCACAAATACGTTACAATTGCATGTTTTGTATGTATCGTATTAGCGGCTCGATAGTGACATAATAGGCTATATAAGCTAACTTTGCAAACGGGAGGTGGAGGGGAACATGGATGGCGTGTCACCTAGGTAAGATGCTTGCCAAGCTGTAAACCCATGCTGACGTCTGTTTGAGATCAACCGAGCAGCAGCAACATCAGGGGCTGAAAGATGAAGCCAATGCGGAAGTGCCAAAAACTGCAGTTCCTTGAATGGCCTCTTGAGGCTGGCTCCAGAAGCGAGTCAATCCCCATAGACCCCCGTGTTAAAATGCCCAACTCTACAGCATAAAAAAACATGATTACAGCCAAGTACAAAAACGATTTTGGTCTCTACTGCTAATTTTCACCTTTATGACAACTGTACAGGGGGTGAATTATTTTAGAAGTCACCTGTTTACATTTTATTGCTGAGTGACAGGCGGTCTGCCAATAAGTGTCCTCGGCTTCTCAGTCAGATCCGGTCTCTCGCCCAAATATGGTCACTTATAGCTCCAAAAGACCAAGATGGCCAGGTTGAAATGCCACTTTCAAAACAGCAGTCCACAAACCAGTTGGTGACGCCACGGTAGCTACATCCATTATTTCTACAGCCTATGAGACCAACAAACAACAATACAGGTTGTGATTTAACAAATCATTGCTGTGTTTCCAAACATGGTTGTTTTGTAGCACCCTGATGCTGTTTTTTCAGTAGGGTTAGTGCCAACAAAAGCAGCTGTGCAAATGTAGTTCATTCCTATAAAATCTTCTATTCAACTGTAATGATTAATAACTAAAACCCACTGTATGTGCATCAGCACTGTTACCACTGAATTGTGCTATGATTTAGAAAAACCATGATTAATATTCTGCCCAGTCCTCTGTAGTCCTGACTATCTACAGGAAGCTGCAGCTTTTCATCGCCAGGCAAAGTTTATGTTAAATGCTTGTTCTGTATTCCCACCCGACCACTTTGATGTTCATGCTGTGTTTTATCTTATCGTGGACATTCATTTCTTTCTACCCTCTGTGACCATCACAATTAATTTTTTGACAACACCATTACACCTTGAACACTGCTTTCATCTCAAGCTCAGGCTCAATCTGTTCCAGCCTTTATCCGTGTGTTGGTTTGTGTGTGTGTGTGTGTGTGTGAATTCACACATAGGAGAAAGAAGGAGACTAAGTGGCATGCGAGGCAATATTTTCACAGTGTGTAACTCTTTTGAAGATAATTCCTCCCCGCTTTCAGAGTGTGACAAACTGGATTGTTTCTCTTTTTGCATTTTCTGAGACAAATTCAAAATTAATTTTCAATTGCCACTATATGTGCCCTTTGACTCGCTGTGATTGGTTTCCTATGTGGTTTTAGTGGGAACTATGCAATATCAAGTTGTAATTAAAAAGAAGCACAGCATTGCTGACACAATGGGAAACTCAAATCAAAAGGGATGTTTACAGGGCTCAAATTGGCCCTCACTTCATAAAGCAACACACTGCTGAAACAATAAAGATTCACATTTAACCATGTCAACCTCTGGGACCCTCTGGCAAGTCCATTATTACAAACACGTGTGTGTGTGTGTGTGTGTGTGTGTAATAATAATTTGTATTCAAACTCCAGTAAAGGGGCTGCAACGGTTAAATGTTGCAGTCCTTCATACTAAATTATAGAGTAATGTGCAGAAAATGACATAAGAGACATAAGAGCCACAAGAATTGAGTCTCACACCGCTACACTCAATGTGAACAATACAGATGTGATCATCCTCCAACATCCTTCCTGCTGAAATCCTGCACTTTAACCTTGAATTATGTTTGACCTTAAATCCAATGTGTCACTGTGCTCTGTAGTGTGAAAAGAAAAGATGTGCTGCAATGAGCAGATCATGTACAGGATATATACTTTATGTAATATTGTCAAACAGAGTGAAAACATTTCTACTTTCTAAACTACTTAAGGCTTTGAACTGAAGATCCCGCACACTGCTCTTGCTCAGCTTCACAATTTATTAGTAACACTACCGTTTCAGTCCTCCTGGGCCTTCATCAAGAGTGTTCAACACCATTATTTCTCACAATGAGCTTAAATTGTATGTCAGTATGTCACATATCCCACAAACGAAAGAGCAAGGGAACAAGAAAGCTCCTTACGCAATAAAGGCTATTTACAAGATTATTTACAAAAAATGTTGATCTTATGAATGAACACATCGGCCTTGCAGCAAAATCTGCAAACACTGTCATGCTATAATGGATTTGGGGACCTCAAAAGACCAATTTATGATAAATGGCACAAGAGTAAACAACGCTAAACATTTTGAATAATCTATGTAAGCTGCAAGGCTGATGTGTTCATTCATAAGATTATTGAGAAACACACCCATGGCTGATTAATTCCCACACACCTGTGCACACCTGTAAAATGGGTGGGGCAGTTTCTATTTGAGTACAATGGTGTTGAATTTCCAGGAGGACCGAAACATTAGTGATAAATTGTGAAGCTGAGCAAGAGCAGTGTGAGGGATTTTTTGTTCACAGACTCAAGTGATGTTTTCCAAGCACCTGTATCTGAGACAGTTGGGTGTGCAAATACCTTTCTTTAAACTACTTAAGGGAAATTCTAAGGGAAACAACCGTGACATTAGGTCAAAACACTGAATTGTGCATTAAGTGAAACCCCATGGTTGCAGTCAAAGTGGAAACTGAAATGTCACTGATGCTGGCAAACTGTCAGCCATGGTCCACTTTGATAATTTCAATTAAATTCACTTTTTATTTTATTTTATCTTACTATATTTTGTTTTGTTTATTTATTTATTTTTTCAGAAATATATAATTATGCTTTAACCACAATCATAAACATGGACAGTAGTTCCATGTGGACTGTAATTACTAGGGAGTTTGCATTTTGAAAAGCATCTGCAGCATTTATGAATGGGGCGGAGGTCATGGGTGTGTACTCATTGAAATCAGTTTCTAACACTCTGGCAGTCTTTTTAATTGGCACTGGCCTTTCAGTTATTGAGGTCACTACTGCTACTGTACGTTCAAAGCAAGATCCCCACGATAAACCCATATGCGAGCGTGCATTTACGGGTTCAGTTGTAATTGACGTCATTAATTGATTAGAGCTGTTTGCAGTTTGGGGGGATCTGCAGCTCCAGCTCCTTACAGTGAAGCCTTCTGCTTCTGCACAGACGTACAGTATAGTAACCAGTCAGAGGGTGATACACGCTCTGACTGCTACCAAGAGGAGAGAGGGGATCTCTGGGACTTCATTTAGCGCAGCAACAGCCAGTGGTGGAAAGGTTAAAAAGTCATTCCGGAAATTTACTGGGACCCTGATTGGATTAAGCGCAACATAAGAGGACGCGGAATTAGGTGATTCGGCTTATATTACTTAATCAAAGAGGTGGGCATATTTTATTTGTGATTTTTAAACCTGTTAGTAAAAGTACTCTTGTTTTAAGCAATTGAATCTGTTGTATAGGCTACCAAACACTGCTGCAAATGTGTTTTTCGTCCAGATAATCTGCGCAAATATAGAAAACTTTATGCATTATTAGTGATCTTTCTTGTGGTGATTCTTTTTTTTGTAATTTGGGAATATGTGCCTTCCCTTTCTCTTTGTACATTAAGTGCCATTAACGCTGCAACATCATAAGATGCCGGTTTGGATAGCACTCAAAGGGTGTCCAAGGGTGATTTTGAACCACAGACTTTTTTTTTAAACAATCACTTAAAATCCACTTGTTCCTCACTACTTCCTCTATCTTAATTTATCAGTTAATTGCGCTTAAGCCATTTCATTAAAGCTCTGAAAACCGTGCGTAACAGTGCGTCTGGATAAGATTTGCGCCTTTGCGCACGGAGCGAGTTTGTAATAATTGTTTGTAAAAACTGATTCAAACCATGACTAAGTACACCGCTGAAAAACAAACAAAAATGCTATTGCTTAATTTTCGTTGAATCCCCGCTGCTCTTGGCTGCACTTGTACTTTCACATGCAACCAAGTTTCCCCTCTGACTAAACATGTTAATGCAAACAGCATGCGCGGTTTTGGAGCCTATAGCTAACCACAGTGACAGAGACAGATCATGTAGAGGCAATAGAGCTGTCTACATACACTCACTCTGTTTCACTTAATGCTTTTAATTTGTTCCATCTGGTCGCTGCTGGCTGCCCCTGCTTTGAAGGACAAAAGTGTGGATGGGGAAAACAGCAAGAGGTGAACAGAGGTTCAGGAAGTAGAAGAGAGAGACAGTATGCCTTCATAAAGACATAGGTGTAGATTTCAGGGGACATGTACCCCTCAATATACAGAACGTGCATTTGCCCCCCTCAATAAAGGTAGCAGAGGACTTTGACAAAATTAAACTGATGCAGAAAAGGCACAATTTGGTGCATAGAAATTCCCCAGAATGCAGAAAATAAAGTTTTGATGCTAAACAATTTTCTCATGGACGACTCCCAAACCCCACGTTTCATATGTGCCCATGTGTGAGGTGCATTTCCCTGTTACCTATTATACAATCACCTGTTTATTGACCCTCCTCTCATCCATTGATCCATATCTGTCAGTCACTATCTGTGTTTTCATGCTACTGAAGCAGCATGAAAACACAGCGATGGAGAGATTTGATGTTGTGATCACATGGGGAGCTTCAAGACATGTCAATGTAGCCTTTGCTTTTGGATTTTAGACACATGTAAATCACATGCAGTTAAGGATATTAAAAAAACTACTCTGTTTTTAATTCACCCACAGGCAGAAGCCAGACCTTGACATTTTAAAATCATGCTTGTAACAACTTAAAATAAACAGACTGAAGCTAATATATTATGATTGAGACCAACCCTTAACGTTGCTCCTGAAAAACTCTGATCAGTTTCCAGATGGGGCTGTTAGATGAAGACATTGCCTTCCACTCCAACATACCTGTGCCACTGGATATTACCGTGGCTGTGGTCTACTCTGTTTTTGGTGAGTAAATTCTACAAAAATTCAAAACCAGTTTGACAGATGAAAAGATTTACTATCACGATAAAAGCTATCAATGAGTTTTCTAATTGTTCTGCTCAGGCTGAAATGAGTAACAGCATTAAGTTTTTTTTTTTTTTTGTATTTTTGACTGTGTTATTAAATGAGATGCATTCAGCTTCCACCTTTGCATATGCATGACTTTACTGCATTTACTTACCCTATTTATGTATAAATCCCATGTCTCCTTTCTCAGACATGCACACATGAACACAGTCCCAGAGACGCAGCCATTGTTGCAGCTTTTCATGTTTCATCTGTGCTTCTAACACGTCAGTGTAAGCAGCCCTTCATAATGAATTCTATGACTGGGCTGTGTAATGAAAAAAAAAATCATGATCTTGGCAGCATTCCTAACATTTATTCATAGTCTGCACACTGTTAGGAGGAAAAGGCATTGTTAACTGATACTTATCTGACATTACTAATTTAAAGATTGTCATTTTACAGCTATTCCCGAATTGCTGTGTTTTTCCTATGTGTGTCTTTGCAGCCTTTTTTGTCTGTCTTGTGCCCCTGTGTTGGTCAGTGAAGACATGTAACTTGTGAAGCTGTCACTGTTATGCTCATAGAAATAAAATGAGTAGAAAGGACACCAAACTGTTTGCCGGGGTCATGGCGATTGTCGTTAGTTGTTATGGTGACGACATACATCAGTAGGTGAGTGTGTCACAGTCACTGGTTTAAAGGAGCTATATGTAAGAAATCCAAAGCAAATAGTCGTAAAATCATCCTAATATGTCACAGAGACTAAGGAATAATGTTAATGTAACATACCGATCTCACAGACAACAATAGTACAGCCAGAATATTCGCATTTAAAAAAAATTTTTACGGTACGCAAATCATGTTTATCTTTTGAATTTGTGTTTTGGCCTGTTGCGCCACCCACCGCCATCTACCAGTCACGCAATCAATAGAGTCTCCTCATCAGTTACAGTTACGACTGAGCTACAATAGCTGACGGTGCGACTAAACCCAAATGACCTTGTTATGATTCCCAAAAACGGCAAGACAAAACTGGAAGCAAAGCGAGGGTCTATATAGGAGATGCTTTTGAACGGTGGAGACGGTTGAAAGCGGAGAAGAATTTGAAATCGGAAGTCGAAGTGACTACTCTTCTCCTCGACAAGTAAGCATTAGCCAAAGTTGGCTAACTAACATCATAGCTAGACGGGGATGGACATTTTGAATACTTTCAACTGTTATTCATTTTCGATCATACATTGTAGCCCATGTGCAGGTGGGTCATCAACCCGATTTTTTTGAAAAACAAACGTTAGCAGCACGGCAAGCAGCATTAGCAGTGTCCCGGTACATAGCATTAGCAGCCAGCTCCTCCTCAGCTGTATCCCGGCAGCAGCGCTAGCAGCAGAGAAGCCGGACTTGCTCGAACGGTCCGCTGGAAAACCGAAGATAAAGGACGCAGAGAAACAGCCCTGCCACGGCAGCCAACCATGGACAAAAAAATCAGTCTCCAGCGTGCCGCTGTCCAGCAACCTCGAATCTGTAGGGGAGGGGGGGCGGACACGACTCGCGGCAGTATTTTGAATTTGAGTGCAGTAACCGTTTTGGCCACATTCTTACATACAGCGCCTTTAATATTGGCTACTCTTAGCTTTATTTTTCTTATTAAACAGGAAAATACAACCTTAAACAAGTTTGGTCCACAAGTCTTTCACCAAACTGAGACTAACATTAGCTTAACTGCCTTGTTAACTCATTATAAAACACACTTCATTTAAACTCTACAGAAACAGTACATACAGTACATCATGTTTCAAAGAACATGAATAGCAGCAAAAGAAGCTGGGAAATAACAGTAACACTGATCATTTAAAAGTAACGGATTGGTTATTTGAAAACGCAACATCACTACTCCACTGCTCATTTGGTTGTTACATGGAAGTTAGCTTGCTACAATGGTTGCACTGGCAATTATACACATAAAAATGGCCGCAGCTCTGACTGTCACGCTATGTTGATTTGAATTAGAATGTCCGTCCTACTCTGATTTTAATTCTATGGCTATGCTTTAATTGTCACCTGAATTTAAGGATGACCTGTGATTGTATTTCGCTCATGCCAAGCATTGCTGGTTAAATATGGAAATTTATGGTTGTTCAATAGTAATAATCTTTTTTAAGAAAGCGCTTTTCAAAACAGGTTTACAAAGTGCTTTACATGTCAATAATGAAAACAGACAAGACATAAAAACAACAGATAAAAACACCTTGGTATATAAAAACTGAGGAAATACTACATTTTAAAAGAACTGAAAACTCAAGTATAATCATGAAATGCTCTCTGATAAAAGTATGTGGGATTTAAAAGAAATCACTGACTCGGCCGACCTGATTCCCTCAGGCAGATTGTTCCAGAGCCTCGGTGCCCTGACAGCAAACACTCTGTCCCCTTTAGTTTTCAGCCAAGCCTCTGGAACATACAAAGACCTCTGTCTGAGGACCTAAAAGTACACCCTGGCGTATGGTATTAGGAGATCAGGGATAAAGCTGGGAGAGAGACCATGAAGAGCCTTAAAAGTAATCAGTAAAATCTATTCTAAAACATACTGGGAGCCAGAGTAATGAGGCTAAAACTGGAGTGATGTGATCACGTCTTCTGGACTGGAGATGATTAATAGTAGTGGTGGCAGATAATATCTACGACTGTACCACCTGTTTAGAACTTTCAGATACATATAGTATATGAAAAGTTACACAACCATTAACATCTCTCTTCAGTCATTATGTCATTCCATGCATGACAGAGCTTATAAATAAACCGTAAAACATTATAAAACAGCCTATTAGTTTGACAGAATAAAATATTTGAAAACTCTACGCCCAAACTAACAAAAGGGACTCATTTTAAAAAATAGTTTTTGTTTTAATTTAAGTGGGAAACCCCAAAAGGTTTGGGTTAAAATCCAGTTCCGACACCAGCACTTCAATATGTTGGCACACAACCAGCACTCACGCCATCTGATCTGTTCTGCAGGAGTATGCTCACTGTTTGGCAACAGCACGTTGCTGTATGTCTCCTACAAGAAAAAGCATCTTCTGAAACCAGCCGAGTGCTTCATCATCAACCTAGCGGTTAGTGACTTGGGCCTGACTCTGTCCCTCTACCCCATGGCGATAACTTCAAGCTTCTACCACAGGTATTAGCTCATACCTACTGTAGCATTAACAGCTATCAAAGCTAAGTACCAAGATGAAGTGGCTGTTCTCACCACCAGAGAATGGTATACACTCACACTATAGGGAAGATTGTTTATATTGTAGGTGCTGCTTTTAAATCAGACTCCCTTTTACATTTCACGGTTCATTTAACTATATGGTTGGTTAGTGATATGACTGCCTGTGAGTTCACAGATATAGAGTGTCGAGCTCATGCTATTCTCCTCTTTTCCCTTTCTTCCCTTTCTGTGCTTTGTTCTGTCTCTCGCTCTTTCTCACATAACCTCCTACGCAGGTGGCTGTATGGGAAAACAGTGTGCTCCATGTACGCTTTTTGCGGCATGTTGTTTGGCATCTGCAGCCTGACCACTCTGACCCTGCTAAGCATGGTGTGCTTTGTGAAAGTATGTTATCCGCTCTATGGTAAGTCTTCAAAGAAGCTATTTTTGCCCGACGAAATGACACAGGATTAACCATCACATCCCTAAGTGGCTGATTGTTGATTTATCTGTGGAAGGAAACGAAATGATAATCCCCTCCACAGAGCACTGCGCATTAGCCTTTCTTTGATGACTGACAAGTCCCTCGGCTGTGTTCAATACGTATTACTTGTGATGTTCGTCAATGCAACGCAATGGGGTTTTCAGTTTGACCTCAAGAAATTGTTCTCCCAGGCAACGTCACAATGGGGTTTCTGTCCAGAATTCTAAATGAAAAGCTGAATAATTTTCTTAATCACTGATATTCCTTTGAAAGACCAACAAAAATACATCTTAATTACATTTATTTTAAAGTCTCATTGTGGCATCTCACCCCTGATATTTACAGAGGCACTTATTTTATTATAACTTGCAGACAGTCATGATGTCCTCATATGTCAGGCTGATGTAACTCAATGGTCATCACCTCTTCTTGCTTCAGAGGCCTTACCTTTCACCTGTTGCTGCACTAGAAGCCTGCAGCCTGCTTGACACATATCAATCCAGATAATTACCCTATGTTCCCGTAGCACTCCAGCCAAATGGATACAACTGCCAAGCTGCCTGTCACCAAGGAAAAAAAGAGTCTGGCACCTGTCTGTGAAACGGCACTAAAAAATTCTCTGACCAAAAATACACTTGGTCTGCCATGCTTGCCTCTGGCTGGAATATGCCCAGGCTGCAGTTAAAAAGCCCAGTGACCATGAAAGAGCCTACTTTGTTAACCTGACACACCAGATGGTTGGTTACTTAGAACCATCTGAGAAAGCTGTCTTTGGAAACCGTTTGGAAAAGGGCCGGCACTTTCAAAAAATACTTGGGGCATGGGGTTGTATCAACCATCTGTCCATCAGTGTCTATCACGGGCCAGTCTGGAGGAGAGCAAAAACATCTTTTCCATCAGTGCTATTTTTGCTCTTCTTCAATGAAGAAATACTCTCCAGTTCTGATATAACTGATGCTATTGCAGCACCTACGCTAATGTCTTTAAGAGCTGCCCTCTTCGTTTTGAACGTACAGTCATCTCTCCATATCTCGTCAAACACTGAAACCACACCGTTAGCTGCCAGAAGCTCCTCATTGCACACCAACTGGTCTGAACCACTGGTGGTGTGGACACAAATGACTTACTGTAAAGCCTGACAAGATGGCTTTACATGTTATCTTGTAATCCTGCAATTCTTGCATGATCTTGTGATATCACGAGAATCCAGTTGGATCCCGGTAACTACTTTGTGGGCTGATGAGTCAAACAGCTCTCTTGGTGAGAGATACTTATGCTTCCCATGAAGCCATTGGAGGCAACCCACTTCCATTTATAGTTGTCAAGGTGTCATAGTATGACACACTCCCCCATCTGAATTTCATAACAAGTTGATTGAGAAAGCTCAATTGGTTGCAGCCTTGGAAGTGAAAGCTCTTAATGTTTGTGTGTTCTAGGACAGAATGATGAATGGGGTCTCAAACACACCAACGCTAAAACACTTTCATTTTTTTTTTTTTCTTGTGTCGTGTCATGCTCTGGTCACGATGGATAGCATGGACACTGTGCACTATGTGAACCATCAAGGACAGTTAATCGTTAATCTCTTACACAAGCTTACATTCTCCTTTAGGGAGTATGGGAAACTGCATCCAGCTTCAGTGTGTCAGATTTGTGATGGAAGATTTCTTTGTACCTCAGTAGGGATGTCACAAAAACTGATACTTTGGTACGAAGTTGTTGCCAAAATTCTAAAAAGGATGCAATTCTTCTGGACCTGCCAGGGCAGCATATATGCCTACAAGTGTACTAGTCTGCCGTTAAATGCCAAAGGAAAGGAAGAAGAAGAACATCTACCAGAACGGAAGCAGAAGCAGAAGCAGAACAACACATGGAAGATTGCCCAGTGGCCTAATGGATAAGGCCCTCCTAAGCCAGGGATTGTGGGTCCAAGTCCCATCTGGGGTGATTTACAGCAGAGTGGGTGCAGCGGAAGCCTGCTGGGCCCCATAACCCAGAGGTCGATGGATCGAAACCATCCTCTGCTAAAAAAAAACATTCAACAATTACCCCCCGGGGATCAATAAAGTCAAAAGAAAAGTGTCTTCTCACAAGGCCTGGGTATTCTGTCAATTCTTTGCCATGGAAGTGCAGTGTATTTACGCTATGCCAAACGGCAGCAGCGTGACAAGTCGCTGAGTGTCTTTTGCGTGCTGAGTGGTGAACGTTTGGCTTTTTTTCCCAGTTGCTGAGAGTTGAAAAATGTTAAATTTTTGGTAAAACACTGCATTTGTCACTGTCACTTTTTACCAAGTCATCCAATCACAGTAGAGGAGGGGTGGGACAAATAGTCTATAATAGAATATATAGAACAGAATATATGTTTCCTTGAAAATAGACTCACAAGTCGGTCTTTAGACGCTTTGCTTAACTAAAGACTGATGACTTTCTCCCTGATTTTGTGTTTAGATGGGCGGATACAATTTCAGAGTTTAAAAAAACTCCCTACGTTGCAGAACCAATAGTAAATCTGCAGGGCGATCCTTCGGTGGCTCGCTGAACTCTTGTTTGTGCTTGTAAACATAGTCCCACTAGAAACACGTGTAGCGGTACAAAATGGCTCAGCCACGCTCACAGAAAACGCAGTCAAAGTTAGTGGATGTTTGTCGCGTTTGCGGCGACACATTCTCGCCAACTAAAAGAAACAAACATAATCTTTTACAAGGCCACATATATATATAGTACAGGCCAAAAGTTTGGACACACCTTCTCATTCAATGCGTTTTCTTTATTTTCATGACTATTTACATTGTAGATTCTCACTGAAGGCATCAAAACTATGAATGAACACATGTGGAGTTATGTACTTAACAAAAAAGGTGAAATAACTGAAAACATGTTTTATATTCTAGTTTCTTCAAAATAGCCACCCTTTGCTCTGATTACTGCTTTGCACACTCTTGGCATTCTCTCGATGAGCTTCAAGAGGTAGTCACCTGAAATGGTTTTCCAACAGTCTTGAAGGAGTTCCCAGAGGTGTTTAGCACTTGTTGGCCCCTTTGCCTTCACTCTGCGGTCCAGCTCACCCCAAACCATCTCGATTGTTGTAACATTGTATAATTGTATAACATCACATTTTTCGCATCACTGTATCACCGACTAATCCGATGTTTGTAAAGTCTATAAACACAATGATTGAACAAACATTACTATTTCTTAGCCGTTAGCGGTGTCTGTAAAAAAATATTTTTTCCTAACATCAGGAAGTCATCCGTTAAAAGCCTCCCGTTGTCAGATACGACATGAAACTACTCCAGTTAGCTCAATCATGTTGTAACTAAGACATCCGCTGGAAAAAATATTTTCTTCACAGATAAGCACATGTTTGATAAAACGGAGTTTAATCTCTCGGCATCCATTTTCAAGCTCTCTGTGCGTTTGTTTCCTTGCGGACGAGAAAAGGGAGAGCGCACATTTCCGGGAGGGCGTGTCCTTTTCAAAAATGCAAGAGGCGTTGCTTTGTTGCCGGCTGTTTTCGCCGGTGTGTTAAACACACTTTAGAAAGAAGTGTCCCCAGACTATCAGAAGACGGAGATCTCTGATTGTCTGGTGGCGAGATTACCTTGAAAACAAAATCTCATGGGCTTACATGGACTAGTACTTTGCAATCAACCAGGAGGAGTGTATGTTTAAAACATGGGATTTATTTTGTTTTACCGTAGTATCAAATTGGCTATTGAGAGTTGTGAAATTTCACTAGCATTTGTAACTACTACTAAATTCTGACAGCCTGACATGCTTATACCACAGGAGAGCACACTACTACTACTGTATTTTCCCCATCACAATCTGGATGCACCCAGACCGGATGGAGCTCCCAACCTGCCCAGCATGCCAACTTCATGCAGCAATGTGAGAAAATGTGCAGGATTTGAACCTTTTCCATAAGCTCCCTTTTTTCAATTCTTCACGCAAGAACTTCCACGAGTGTAACACAATGAATGCCTTCCAGGAAAACTGTCTAAAATGAAGCAGCATTATTCCCATTTGAACGATTAGTTCAACTCCCACACTATGGTGGTAGCTTTTGCCTTCAGATGGAGTCAGATGACACTGAACTAGATTGTTTCGAGCACATCCTGCGCATAAATGGAGTAAGTTCTTCTGAGAAGATGCTGATATATTATAGCGTAATTTGGGGGGGGCGAATCAGTGAGTAATAGGTGTGCCAGAACATTTCAACTGCACGAATAATAATCTTATTGTGTTTCTACAGGGAACAGGTTTAACTGCGTTCACGGCCGTCTGCTCATCGCCTGTGCGTGGATCTATGCCTTGCTGTTTGCCTGCTCCCCGCTGGCCCACTGGGGGAAATATGGGCCAGAGCCTTATGGCACTGCCTGTTGCATTGACTGGCGCCTGTCCAATCAGCACTCTACAGCACGCTCCTACACTGTGGCACTGTTCATCTTCTGCTACATCCTTCCATGCTGTGTTATTACAGCATCCTACATGGGCATTCTGGTCACCGTGCAAGCATCCCGCAAGAATATGGAGCAGCATGCATCGAGGCAGACACACATGAGCAGCATCCAAAGAATTATTGTTAAGGTAACGGGAGAGTTTGATAAACACAAATTATTACCTCAATCATTTGGCTCATACACTTTTAAGTGTGTTTACACTTTCTGCTCAAGTCTAAATACTGGCTTAGAAATTACATGTTCTAAGAGTAATCCTCCAAAGCACCATTGAGAATGACTATTACGAAAGAAGTTTATGAGCTTCTGCGGTTTTTATGCCATCACGCCAGCAAGCAAGCGTTATGTTTTCAGGGAGTCCATCCTATTCTCTGCCTTCAGGGAACTTCTTCAAATTTGGCACAAATGTCTACTTGGACTCAAGTCAAGGTCACTGTGACCTCGTCTGTCTCAACATTGTGAACGCAATAACTCATTTACACGTTGAGGGAATTTGTCCAAACTTAGCACATACGTCCACTTGGACTCAAGGATGAACTGATCAGACTTTGCTGAGCAAAGATCAAAGGTCAAAAGTCAAAGTTACCGCATTCTCGGAACCCATCGGCTGTATTCGGCGTCTGACTTCCAGCAGATGGCGATACAGCCTCTGGGGGTAGGCCCCCAATTTTTTGGCATTCCGGTTTGATTTGGGCGGAGGAGGCGAATTTCCGTTTCCGACTTCCGTTCATATATAAGTAAATATGCTGAACCATTGCGAAGGATTCAGAGTTTGCAGTGATGCCAATTATGTTCCGCCTCGTTAGTTCACCGCACGGACCGTTTAACCTGGCAACAACTGCAGCTGGCTCAAACGTAATTGGTCAATATCACGCAGACTACAAACAACCTACAACCGGATATCAGGGCTCTTCCGCTCTTCTTCCAGAGGCAAGATCTCCGGGGTTTGCCTACAGACTCTACATTCACTGAATGTAGAGTCTGTATATAGAGACTAAGGTTACCATGACTTTGCATCCATCACATTCTCGTGAACACAGCATCTCAAGAACACTTTGAGGGAATATCTTCAAATTTGGCACAAACATCCACTTTAACTTGTTGGATTTTGTGGTCAGAGGTCACAGGTCAAGATCACTGTGACCTCACAAAACACGTTTTTGGCCATAACCCAAGAAGTCATACACTAGCTATGTCAAAGTTTCACACAAATGTCTAAATAGAAAAATGATGAAGTGATGACATTTTATATTCAAAAGGTCAAAGGTCAACTTCACTGTGACAAACTGTTATGCAAAAACACTTTTCTGGCCATCACTCAATTATAAATCTCAGGAACAGAAGGAGAGAGACAGACACTGAATTGTTGACACTAATCTTGGGTGCCCACCGTGAAACTGTGCTGCTGGGGGGGAAGATGTGTGTGAAGCGGGAACTGCCCATTGGTTCGACAGCCCATTGGTTCGACATCCCATTGTTCCGACCATATTAAACTCATTGCTCCAAAGTCATCATGATGCCCTGTGGTTAAGGTCTGGTTAGGTTTAGGCACAAAAACCACTTGGTTAGGGTCAGGAAAAGATCATGGTGTGGGTTAAAATGAAAAAGAAAGTGACAAACACATAAGTCGTGAGCCTGCTCCGCCTCAAGCCGGTCACAGCGCACCATACGCCCGCCACGAGCCGTTCAGCACCGCGGTTAGTTGGACTAATGGGATGTCGAACCAATGGGCTGTCGAACCAATGACATGGACCCTGTGAAGCATCCATGTTTTCCAGACATGCATGTAAACTGCGCAAATTGTCTGGTGCTCAGAGGCATATAACCGCAAGGCAGTAATTCTAGTTTTCATCATTACCGTGTCTCTGTATAATCACACCCCAGAAGAGTATTATTAATCCACTTGCATACTTCAGTTGCATGCAGGATAAACACGCCGACAGCAGTGCTAAGCCCAAAACTGAACTCTTTCGCCCATCAAATCTGTGGCCTACAGTAATTCTAATACAAGTAAAAGAAAGAATTGCCGATCACTGAAAACAACATGGTAGTGCGGATAATGTGGTGGTGGTGGGAGGGGGATCAGAAGTAAAATATCAAAGCTCCTCCTCAGAGACAAGAGTCCTCTGGAGAATTCTGTGTTGAAGAAACTGGTTGTGACCTGAATAGAGCCTGCATTGATGGAGCTTCTAATTAGCAGTTACAGGCTCTGACTGTACTGTTGTGGATGAGAAGCTACTGCTGCCTTTGTAGATAAATGGTCATCATCATCATCATCATCATCATATAACCTTCTCCATAAGCATTACTCTGATTCATGCATGAAAAGATCACAAAAAATCAATTCAGCACATGTAAATGCTCACATTCAGACAGCCACTCACTGTTTAGATTATATCTTGTGCTTTTAAAAGATAAGTCTGGGGAAGTTCGTTTTTTTCCCTTATTGTCATCACATACTATGAAAAGACAAAAGCCAACAATTAACTGATCCTACTAACAAGTATCAAGGAATGGATACAGCTTATATCTTTGTGCCCTGAGCCTCCACTGTTGTCCAAGAACTATAACATCAGCACTGTGTTTTATTCTCAGTCAGTTTCATTTATACCATCATGCTCGTTTGACAAATACTTACTGAAAACTACAGCGCCCAGATATTCTAAGCTTCATAGCCTTTTTAAACATGACAGTATGTATTCATCATGCGTTTTTAGAACCACAAACCACAGATATGTTACATTTGTTCCTTTTATACGTATCATTGTTTCTAAAGTGACATTGTATATGAGCTCAATTTGTCATTGGGAGGTGGAGACCACTGTTTGAGACCAACTAACAACAAAAAAAGATTGTTTTTTTTAGCCGCCTGTCGCTGTGTTTCTGGCGGAAATTGTGCCACAAAACAGCAGGTGTTTTTTACTGAGACACTGCTGAGTTTCCAGCCAGGATTGTGTCCCCAAAATTGGGTATTTAACGACAAAATATAGTCTTTTCCTAACCATAACCAAGTGGGTTCTGTGCCTAAACCTAACCATGTTAACCATGGCGTTACAGTAAAATGTTTCAATGAATTTGCTAAATAATAACATACAAATGCAAAGTATCCATGTGTTGCAGAAATGTACAATACCAACACTTATTCTGGCAGTTGTGTTGTTTCGAAAGTAAGTCGCCTTTGAAATGATATCAATTGTACTTTTTTCTTCTGTGATCTTTTTCCTGCAAGCTAAGTGTTGCCGTCTGCATCGGTTTCTTCGCGGCATGGAGTCCATATGCTGTGGTGTCCATGTGGGCTGCCTTTGGACACATTGAGAACATCCCTCCTCTGGCATTTGCCTTGCCAGCCATGTTTGCCAAGTCTTCCACCATCTACAACCCAATCATCTACTTAATGCTGAGGCCGAACATCCGCAGGATGATGCGCAGGGACCTTGGCGCTCTATGCCACACCTGTCTGAGGGGTTGCCTCTGGTCCCAGGGGCCAGCTAAGTGCTGCTCCAAGCCAGAGATCAGGGTCAGACTTCACTCAGTCCACAGACACAACAACCAGTTCCCTTCATCCAACTCCTCTGCTCAACCTCCGGTGGCAGCATCAAAGGACCACAGCTGTGAGAAGTGCAAGGATGCTTTTGACTGCTTCAGACACTACCCTCAGATGTGCAGCATCATTAACCCTGCTATCAATGGAGACTCATCCAAGGATCAAGGCACTCCAGTTCCCCAAACATATAAGCAGAAGCCTCAGAGCGTGTGCCACAAGAAGTCTCTACTGGCTATCATGTGTGCAAAAAGGACATCAGAAATAGACAATTTCCATATTAATTTGGAAATGGTTCCAGGGCATGCAAAAGTGGCTTGGCCCTGATATTTCTCCAAATTCACAATGTTTACACAATATCTCTGGACATATTTTGCAGATTATGTTCTTTCACACGTGGAATTACTTAATTTGTATTTTCAGGAAATCTGTTTCAGCAATGTACCACGAAGCTCCTTTGGTATCTGCGCTGAGGCCATGTACCTTATTTATCCTTTGTTGCCTACTGTGCTTTTAGTTGGCACAACTGACACAAATGACAGAATAAATTTTAGGTTTAATGCAGACACAGTTTGCAGCCCTTAAACAATATAATTATGATGCTCTGGTGATATTTACAGTTGAGAGTTAGCAGTTAACTAGCTTCTAAATTATTGTGTCAGGGCTACGTGGCTGAGGATGGATAGGTTTAGGAGTTTTCCACCTATTTATCTCCTGATCAAGTTTGTCAAAAAGTGCAACTCTTTGAGCTCTTGTTCACATTCAGATACCTGCTCTGAGTAGGGCTGCAACTAACGATTATTTTCATTGTCGACTAATCTGTCAATTATTCCTTCGATTAGTCGACTAATCATTTTATCGAAAAATGTGTTAAAATGTTGAAAAATGTCCGTCTGTCTCTCCCAAACCCCAAAAATATGTCATCTAATGTCTTGTTTCGTACTCACGCCAAAGGGTTTTAGTTCACCATCATGGGAGAGTGTGTAAAGCTGCCAATATCTGAACGCAAGAAGCTGCAGTAAGAGTATTTTGGGATACTTTTATAGTACTTCTCTATGAAAAATGACTCAAACCGATTAGTCGACTATTAAAACAGTCACCGATTATTTTAATAGTCGATAAGTCATCGATTAGTCGACTAATCGTTGCAGCCCTAGCTGAGAGTATTCAATCCCCTAGGCGGGGTTATAAGCATTGCAGCTACTTAATTTTCTATTCAAATCAATATCAAACTGCCAGAAAGTGGCCTATTCCTCGAAGCACTACTGGCAGCATGACCTGTCTGGAATTACTTGTTGCGCGTATAGAGTGTGCCAGTAAACCCGAAACTCCGTTAGCGATTTTAGCACTTCCGGTTCTCTCGTCTAAAAGTCAATACATTTTTTGAATGGGATTTTGATAAAATGCCTCAAATAAGGTCTGTGGTTAACAAAAGCTTAAGCGAGTTTCAGGTTTTGTTCTACGACATAAAACACGTCAGTAAATACCCTTCTTGTGAATTTTGAAGCTTTTACGTGTCGTAAAAAAGGCGGTTGCTAACAAGTTGCTCAATACGACTACAAACCCTGACGGGGACATTAAACGTCATCACCCCCGAACAGGCGAGAGTGCTGGCAGTCCGCCATTACAGCTTCTTATTTAGCTTAAACAGTCAGATTTCCCCATTATACAATGTTTTTAAAATAAAGCGGCCGAAATCAGTTGAAAGCTTAGTGGCGGTGACATCAAGAGTCATGCGACCGTGGAGTAGTCATGTAGTCCATTAAAGCCTAACGTTAGCTTTTTACTTCTGGCGATTGCATTTAAGCTTCAAATGCGGTATGAAAGGTGTTCATATGTGAAGATTACCTCTCTGAACAAAACCTCTAAGTATCATAAACTTGTGTTAGCCACAGAGCTTATTTTCTGACATAATCCAAAACGCAAAGCAAAAAATCACATTCACTTTCTCTTCTGGGAACCAGCGCGATGCTAAACTTCCGGGTTTTGACGTCAGCCCTGGCACACTTTATTTCCTAAACACGGCTGGATTTAATGAAGTGCTCCTCTTTTACATTCAAGTTTGCAAAAGCTTGGACAAGTTGGGTGGAGAGCAACTTTCAATATGTATAATAATTTGGATGCATCTTGTTTTAACCATGAGTGGCACTTTAAGGCCCCAGGAAGCTTGATTTCAAAAGCATTACTCTAGGTAATGATTGGTGCAATTATGCAGCATCACCTTTTTTCCAAATTAGCCCCACCTATTTCAAAATTAGTCAGGGGAGCACAACTATTCTAACTGTTGGCAGAAATGTAGGAGTGAGTTCATGTAGGATCTAATCACTCATGGTAAGCTGTTAACATTATAAATGTATATAGTATTTTAACTAAAGATCCTACTCTTAAATTAAAGCCGACATTCTGCACTTTTCAACACATGTTTTAGACAAGTGCTGTGTTTCATTAAATGCTTGAAATTAGTTTTAAGTCACTGACTTATTTGCTGCTAGCGTTATCGAAGTAAAACCTGGGTTAAGCCTCAGGGAATCAGGGAATTAGCTGAGTACAGTGGGAGTAACGGCCACCGATGATTACCAATTATTGACTAATATTTATATAGTTAAAGTATTTGTGTAGTTACTACATTGTGGTATCTTGAGTATCACCTTTATACATGTTTATCCTTGCTTGTGGCTTTGTTGTGAAAGGGGTCATAACAAGCATTTTGTGACTTCCGTGGTCAGGACTTAACAGACTCCTCTGGTTAATCATTACAGCCACATACCAGTATGTCTACATGGGAACTGAGAAGCCATCTCATCTCAAAAAGCTGTCAACACTTCCTTTACTATGCCAGTATTGTTTACACTTGACAACTGCAGGTATATAGTTTATGGTGCTTTATCAATTATCTATATACACACTGTGTGGAGCACAATGCTGCTACATAATACCATGGTTACGGCACTGCACAATATTGTCTATCTGTATTGTGGGAACTTAGACTGAAACAATTCTTTATGTGTGCTGTGAAAATTAAATATTTCTACTTATTTCTGTATATGTATGTCACTTCAATAGATGGAATGGGAAGACAGACACATGAAAGAAACCAAAACAATCCAAATATGCAGCTGTACATACATTCATCAGTGGAGAAAGAGGTGTTGTCTGTAACTGTTGTTGTGTGTAAATCCACTGTGTAAACTAAACATGATTGGAATGGGATTTAGGTAATCACTCAGGACCAAATCTTTGACAGCTCAAACTGTTGTTTCGGTTTCTCGGCCGCTCACAGAATTGCTACCATCATATCAGCGTACATCACGGGCCTGCCGCTCTTTCATCTATTCTAATTACAGTTTTGTGGTTTTACCAGTTTCTTAATTACTTCTCATGTTGTCGTTGGTTGCAAGGCGTACTGCTTTTGATAAACAGAAGTACTTAATTAGATTTTATCTATCGGTCAACAGGGTGCCATTTTAACAGCATCCCTAGATCTGATAGAAAACGGATGTAATAACTGTTACAAAACTGGAAAGCCTGTTCACGTTTGTATCCCAGGACCTTATCAATAATCATCAGTGGCATGGAAGGATTAATTTTCTTGTGTGTAGTGAAGAGATTATTCAACTCACCAGGTGAAAAATAGCAGCAGTGCACACTATCAGCACATCTGTAACGTATTAAAAGGTCCATAGCAATATGATCTCAAACAGTAAAAGGGAAATTAGTCTTCCTGTCAGGTTTATTCCGGGGAGTTAAAGCGGATGATCTGGACAAACACACTGCTGTTGAAACTCTGATGCTCAGGAAGAACCATCCACAATATACACTGTCATGAAAAGCAAATTCAGACTTAGTTATTATATGCAGAGCTTTACAGAGTCTAATTTGGGGTTTTAGTGTATTATAGTCTAGTTTAGATCAGAAAAATACTCATTATATTCGGTCCTACTGCGAGGCAGATTCAGATCTGGTGTTTTTATTGGGTCGTCAATGATGGATGTGGTTGCTTGTTCCAGTTGCTCTGCAGGGTAATGTGATTTTGCGGGATGTGACAGTCAGTGTAACCCCATACTGCTATCTAATTGTATACTGTATTGTCGTAGTATGTCGTCTTAAAATTATGAACATACTTAACTGTTTTATACTAACAATAAATTATACATTCAATCACAACGCAACTTTTGAATGTCTCCGCCAAAATTACAAATTCATTAGGTCATTAAAATGATTTTCCAAGTTCAGTTGTTATATTTTCTGTTTTCTTGGTTATTCACAATTTCTTTGAATTTTTTTTTTAAAATGTAGGATGGAATTGGGATATATTCCGATATAGTTAATGTTGAATCTTAGACGTTTGAAAGTGACGACAATGTAGATGTTTTATATTGATATCCATTGACTAGTTGCAGAAGATATGAAATACACGAAAAAAAACATTTACATTGGAATTTTAGAAACATATGTACACAGTTTATTCAAAATATGAAAATGGCTTTAAAATACATCCAGGTTTGAGAAAGGCTTGTAGAAATGTAGAGTGAAAACAGGGCGGTGACATTTTTTTTGTGCTACACGTCAGTCTACTATTGTGTAGTGAGAGGAACATCGCAGCCGTCGAGTCCAAGTAGAAAAGGTACAGTAAATTTTGTAATGAAACAGAATATGACATCAGAACATCCCCGAGACAATCTAATCTTAAAATGCTGAGAAAAGTATTTTGTAATCATCATAATGCTTGGTACAGTTGTGATATAGTGCAGCACAGTAGTTCGTCAGTTTACAGATAATCTGATATCATTGCATTATTATCATTACAGTAAATCCACACACTGACCACTCAAACAAGCAGCCAAGTAGTAATTCATGCACCTACACTGAATTGACAGCACATAATCTACAGCAGATCTGAGAATAAAAAAGGGAACTTACTTAATAGTATATTGTCTACTGCTCCCTACTGGACACATGGGTAACAGAAATTATACACATGGATTAGTGGAATACTGCACTAAGTTTTCTGTCCTTCTGTTGACATTTTTCCACTTTATCTGTCCTGTGATTAAAGTCATGATGTTTGTGTTGGGCTGGCATAAATGTTTACTACACACACAATCTGATTGTCCCTGAATATGAGCTCATTATTCAGTTAAAGCTACAGTAACCGTCTACAAACATATTGGCTATCACATTGAGAAACATTTCTGAAAACAAACAAAAAAAACTTGACTTTATAGTAAAACTATTACTTTTGTAATAAATCTTTAAAAAACTCTCGCTTTGACTTGCTACATGCCAAGAGGCACCAGAGGTGGGACCAAGTCACTGGGCCTCATGCAACAACCGACTAACACATTTTCTCCTATTTTGTTTGTATAAGTCTGGTTTTCATCGTCCACATACTTTTGTCCAAAGCCAGGAAAAATAAGTTTTAAATTTGAGAACATCAACAAATATATAAATATATTGTAATTAAACTGAGATTATGTTTTAGAGTAATTTTAAATGACTGAATTATTAAATGTGTGGGCTAAAGAAATACTACTACACTTGGTCCATTGATCCCAATACTGTAATTTAAGTTACTGTGTGTCCCTCTGCTGACCAGTAGTTTAATGTAATGTAAGTAAATTTACTCAAATACTGTACTTAAGTACAAATGTGAGGCCGCAGATGAGTAATTTATTCTAATGTAACTTCCTATTTTCTACTACTGAATAATTGTAATTTTTTCCACTGTAATTATTTAATAACTTCAGTAACTAGTTACTTTACAAAGTAAGATTTTTACACACAAACCAAAAATATGAAAATAAAGTGCAGCTGAAATGACTAGGAAATTGATTAGAAAATTAATTGGATAACTGTTTAAATTATATTTTATGCAAAAACATTTCAGGCTTTCAGCTTCTCAAATAGGATGACTTGCTGCTTTTCCTTTTAATTAATTTAAATGTTTTGATGAATACTTTTTTTTCTCCGCATTAAATACTTCTACTTAACTTAAATACATTTTCCTGATTGTACTTTACATATTTTTACTGAAGTAACATCTTCAATGCAGGACCTTTACTAGTAACAGAGTATTTTTATGATGTGTTATTAGTACTTTAGGATCTAAATAATTACTCCACCACTGTTGCAGACGCTGCATTTACAGCATCATGAATGCTTAGCCATAGCTGTTACACTTTGAAAACACTACTACACTAAAACACTTTAAGTTTATTCAACAGAACGTGAATTCTCTGGTTCATGTGCCAGAGTATTTGCACACTGCAAACAGTGCTGAGGGGTTGTTAGCTATGCAAACAAGTTACTTATTATCAACTGGGATTCATGATGCAGCTCACATGGGTAAGAGCAGATTTGGATGGTTAAGAACATTTGGTGTATTTGGAGTTGATTTCTCTTTTCTTTTTTTTTCTTAACAGAAAATTAAGAGAAAATATAAGACAAATTTTGGAGGCTGTTGCTGCATGAGGCCCATTGTTTTGCAAGTCACAAGTCAAGTGCCAAGTCAACAACAGAGCAATAATATATTAAACTTTAGAGAGCCATGAATGCCTTCTGATTTTTGTATTTATTTCTTAAAACAAGTTTGTTGGAAGTCTGCATGTGCAATTATTGACCCGCATGTTTTCCAAAAGGCCATCTGGTTTTTGTTGACCACCGTGTAGTTTTTGTACGCAAACAAAAACATCTTTGGTATTACTTTTTCTGACTGACACTCAGTGACATAATGTTAGTTCTTCATGGTTCTCTTCTGCAACTTGAATTGATGCTGTCAGACTGGTTCAAACAAGGTGGATCTGTGGAATTAAGTGGTGACATGCTGGGAAGGAATCGCATTAACATTAGCCGGTTCTGGAAATGAAGGGATGATTATTGATTCATGGCACACTTTTTGAATAACATACTTGTTAATCTTTGGTCTTTGGAGGAGGTATCAAATATTTTCAAGTTAGAAGTCACGAGTCATTGGCTTTAAAATCCAAGTCAAGATGCAAGTCGAGTCTTAAGTCATAACATTTGTGACTCCAGTCCAAGTCCTGTGACTCTGGTCCACACCTCTGCCAACTACAACCTATCATCTGGCACATGAATAAGAAAGACAATTATTTAGGCCATCATTACTTTACAGTAAATTACAAAATAAACAATGATTTCAAAATTCCATTGGGAGAACCTGAACTCCTAATTTTCTCGTAAAGATAGAAAAAGTCATTTAAAAATACACCTAGAGCTTTAACACTGTCACAATAAAAGTCAAGTCCTGGTGATCATTTTAGGGAAATGACTGAATTACAGGTTGTGTCCAGTAAGACACCACAGACACTTTCTCTATGACAACGGTTGGCGGAGAGCTATTTGGTTATTATGAATAACAAAGATCTTTTTCTTGAGCTGAGTTTCCTGTATGCCATTTTCAATGCTCTGAGCAACACAAACAACATTCTGCTCACTTGTACTATAATCAGGGAAGACAGAGATGATATTTCAAACCAGTGGCACATGAACCAGCGTTAATATGTTAGAGTTGAACGGGAGCCTCTAACCTGACCATCACGGGCAGAAAGTCATTTAGAGGGAATGAGGTAGAAAGTTGATCAGATCTAGGAAGAAGAACCGCAGGCGTTCAGTATTTTCTGGATGACATCTACCTTTATGGTACCATCCAGAGCACGACAAAGCTTCCCGATTGTGCAGCCGATGCTTCCCTCCTTCATTTTCCAACGATCCAGCATCTGGTGAACCATCTCCGGCAGGCCGTCGCGGAAACAGTCGTGCTCAATGGTCTCTATTTCCACAGTGGTCAGACCCAGTCGCCGCGCGCAGCGCTTCCATTTGGCTCCGATGTTGTCCCTCAGCAGATCCAGGTGCTCCTCGGTCACAGTGTGGTCCTCTAAACCACACAGAAGACACGTGTATTAGAGCAACTATTTATTCAACTTCAATGAGGAATTGTTTCAAGTTTAACAAATAGCTGAACTACAAAATACTGTTGCCATGACTATTATCGCATACTGCATTATCTACTTTATCTTACAATGTGTTATCACTTAAAAATAACATCCAGAGTGGTAACAATTTGTTGATTAACTGATAAGCTGATGGACAAAAAATTATTTGCAACTATCTTGGAAATTCTTTATTTATTTTTTGTCATTTTTCCTTACTCTGATTTCAGCTTCTCTAACTTGAGGATTTGATTTTTTTCTTTGCCGCAAATAATTGCAAACTGGATTCCTTTATGTTTTGGACTGTCAACACATATAAAAAGAATCATTTTAGCTATTTTCTGACGTTTTGTGACAAAAATTTGCAGAAATGATTTGCGGATTAATCGAGGGTGAAAATAATTGTAAGCTGGCAATCATGTTTACAAACTGAGGAGCAAAAAGTATCCAGAGATCAACTATCTGTTCCATGACAGAAATGTTGTTGTACTTTACCGTATTTCAGTATGCCTTCTTTGATGGGAGAGTTAACTGGGCAAAAAGGTACAGACGATAAACTACTGGAATCGCAACCTCTGATACTCATCGCGTTGTGGTTCCCAATCTGGATCCCGCTGGCGTTGTAAATGTAAAGAGATGCTAGACAAGCACAAAGCAAACACACATAAACACAGTCTCTCCCATACCTGTTGGTCAAAAGTGACAGAAGCAGCTGCGAACACCTCTGGCATCTAGATCTACATGTTTGTGTGTACCTGGATCTTGTGATGAGCAGCATTTAGAGGGAGTCAGGAGACGCCCAGGACTGATGTCAGGAGCAGATGTATCAGACGCTTGAAAAGCTGGCCAGGACTGCTGACGGTCATAGTGGGAATGTGGATGTTGCTGGTTAAATTGAGATAGAGAAGGGGAGCTGGTAGACATTGGAAGGTGGGATGGATAAGGTATAGAGGTGTTCATGGAATCATAGAGACCAGCAGTAGGGCGATACCAAGCCTCTTCCTGGCTGGAAGGCTGCACCGGCTCAGCTTTTGTCCAGGAATGGACAGAGGAGCCATGAGAGGGTCTGTCTTGTTCTGGTTGTCTGATAGCGTGATCTGATGAGCTGAAGTGGTTTTGCAGGAATGGATTTGAGTTGCTGCGATGGTAACCGTTGGCAGCTTCAGCCTGGTTCTCACTGTTATAGCTACCATATTTGTGGTACTGAAGCTCCCGACCTAGTTTCTCCTCCAAAGCTGAAGGGACCGCCTTTGCGTCTGACTGAATAGACTCCACTGGCTCTGGCTCAAAGTGGATGTCATGCAGGTCCTCAATACTGGCTTCAACTGGCACAGGTACACTTCTGTCTGAGCTCACCAAAGGAGCTGGGGAATCTGCAAGGTAAGGAGAGAAGTACAAGCAATAAAGCCACTCTTACAGTACAGTATATGCAGGCCATCAAGAATACCAACAGTGCTCACCTGCCAAAAAACAATCCTGGGTCACTGATAAAGATTTCATCTTCTCAACAAGTTCCTCTGGGCCTTCATATTTCTGCGTAAAAATCGCACAAAGAATCATTATATAAAATATCCACAATTCATTTTTGATCTGGCTTTATTTTAACTTCATTTCTAGAGTCTTCACTGTGCATACAAGACGAGGTTACACATCATCAGACCCCAACGAAAATATATTACCCTCAGCTCAAGTAAATCTTCCTCTACATGTGGCTCAAGCTTTTCTGTGTAGAAAGGGAGGAAGAAGTCGTAGCCCTCTGCAAGGAAAGAAAAAGGTCGGGAGAGGATGAGGAGAATATCATAATATTCATCTTAAAGGTGCATGTTAGCTGCTGAGTAACAAACAGGTATTAAATAAAATAGTACAATCCATTTATTTGTTTGTTACTTATAAAGTTAAGGCTTGAATTCTATTAAAAAAAAGACATATTCCACTGATCCACATTAGAGCGTTTGCTTTAATATTTTAAATACACACACACACACACACACACACACACACACACAAAGCACACCTTTAAATGTTGGCCGTTGTACTGGATTTTGATCCCAGCACCTCTTCATCAGCTGAATTATCTCCGCTGGCGTGTTGTCTGGAATAAGGTCCTCTGCTGGCCGCTGACCACTTCGGACACACTGGCTGATTTGTTCTTCACTCCTTGCATCTAGACATAGAAAAGACAATTTAGTGATCTGCATCAGGATTAAATTATGCAGTTAGGAGTTAAAGCCTGTTAAAATGGTAAACTAAAATGTGCCTTATTATAAGGACTTAAATATGTTTAATCCCAACTCACTTGCATATGGCTCTTCCCCTGTGAGGATGACCCAAACCACAATTGCAAAGCTGTAGACGTCAGACTTCTCAGTAGAGACTGTATGTATACTCTCCAGGTGCTCGGGGGCCATGTAGCTCAGAGTGCCTGCACATCTCGCCCCTGCCGATCGCCCCATACGACTCCTCCTGCGAGACTCCTCCTTTGTGAGTTTGCTCCATGTCTGACAGGTGGCCAGGCCAAGGTCTGCAATCTAGAAAACACCGAGGTAAAAAGAAATCACTGAGATTACCATGACTGCACAGTCAAATCTGTCATGGGCCTTAGTGTGTAATATACCTTGATGTGAAAATCCTTGTCCACTAAAATGTTTTCTGGCTTGATATCCTTGTGTATGACACGTCTCTCTGTGAGGTACACCATCCCTTCCAAAATCTCTACGATGATTCTGCCCTTGATGGATACTGGCACAGAAACCTGCTAAGAATTTAGACTATTAATCTTTCCATTCATACAAAAATACCACAACATATTTAAGGCTGCAAACTGTGGATGGAATCTAGTGGAGCTACTAAAGTTACAGACATTAAATCTGCACATTTCCCTTTTCAATGTGACAACAGATATTAAACCTGCTGACCGTCTCCAGCATGACCGACAGGTTGCCTCTGGGGAGGAGCTCCATGACCAGTGAGCAGTCTCTATCCTCCATGATCACACCCAGCAACTTGACCACCCGCTCATGGTTCAGGCTCGCCATGATGTTCCCCTCCTCCAGCAGAGACCTTTTATTCTCCCTGGAACGTAAAGTAAAAAAGTAAGAAGCGGGTATTTGCCAGACAGGTGGAGTCGACTCTCATAGTGGGCTTAGGGGCAGGACATAGAGGTGTACCAATGTGATACTACTTTTTTTAGGTGGAACAGTTATCAGACACCAGTGGTTCCCAAATAGTGGGTCACAGTCTAAAAGTGGGCCACAGGTGCATTCTGAGTGGACCGCAATAGACTTGCAAATGTGTCAACTTTGAAAAAACACACTTTATTCTGAAGTATGATAAATGCCTGGCACAGAGTCTTTATTCTGAAGTGTCGTTTCCTGCTGTAGAGTGAGTAAATAATGGACAATTACTTAACAGAGACAGCAGACTAGCTCATTATGTCCAAACACAAGTATGACACTTAATATACTGAGCTGTGTGGACCTTGAACTAATGGCTAAGGAGGAATCTGGACCCCATGGCTGGACTGGTTGGGAACCACTGCAACACACAGTATGTCCTGAGTGTGTGCATACTGCATGCAACAGTATGTATTTTATAAGAGCAGCTGCAGTACCTACTAAAAATAAGCAGAAAAAATATGCAAGTCAGAATGCAGCTACAGTGTCTTCGTCATCATAAAATTTGGCGTTTCTGTTATGAGTTACAAGCTGTGTCATAGAAATCCAAGCACAAATGTTATTTTACATGAAAAGCGATTCAGATGAGTTCCACACAGTGAAGCAAAGATTTTAAATTTGAGCAAAAGAGCACTTGTATTAGATCAATACTTGATACTGGGCAACTAGACACACCTGAGTTTCAGTATTATGAGATGGAGGTGAAACGGTGCATCCCTTGCAGGGCATATCGGAAATTAATCACTTATAAAAATCCCATAAAGTGGCAATAAAAATATGAATTAAGTTTTAAGGGGAAGTGGTTTACATGTATGAAAGCGCATGGACAGAGAAACGGATGTTGGACCTACATCCGCATTTTAGATAACCTCACAACTTATGTCGAAAGGAAGCTATAGAAATCAGAGCTTTTGCACACTGGATGGATGGACACACATTCCTATATTGTCAGACTATGCTTACAGATTATTTTACACATGTAACATTCATTAAGCAATATAATATAATGAAATATGATATAATAATGTAACATAAACACAGCTCAGCCTCACTGGGCTGTGCAGAGTCTGTCTGAACACATGATTCAAGTTACAGCAAAGGGGGAATACCCAGCAGCCCCCGCACACAGATGAACACAGAACTCACTCGTTGCGAATATGGCCTGTGTACATGGTCTTCAACACCACCTGGCCGAGGGTGGCATGGTAGCACAGGTACACTTCCCCAAAGCCTCCGTAGTCCAGGGCCTCCTTTTTGATGAGATCAGCCGATCTCATGTGAAGTGAAGGCTGTGGCGCGGTGGCCATCCCTGCTTTGGTTAGAAGTCACAATGAAGCAGCTGGACAAGACACACGACAGCTCGAAAAACTCATGCCAAAGTGGCTAAAAGTTCTATACCGCAAATGTTAAAATGCGGACGAGACGGATAGAAACACCGGAGCGGCGACTCGACCACCCGTGACGTTCAAAACACTGACAGGCTGAAGATGCAACAGTTAAGCTAACTCCTGACGTAGCCCAAAGTTTCGGCAACTTGACAAACTTAGCCGTCATGACGTAGACCAAACTCTTCACCCGACGAACAACATTAAACACCTAATAAGCTACTAATATAAGCAAACTGCAGTGAAATGTTTCGCTTACCTGTAAAAGTGCTGAACAATCCAAGTAACGCTGCGGCTCTTTGATTGTAGTTCCGGGATTTCCTCGACTTTCTCGTTCAAAGCGAAAGCTAACAGGCGACATGAAAACTACAAACAGCCTCACGAGTCGATAACAGATCAGGACAGCTCGCGAGCTCAGATTTTAGTGGCTTAAAATGTCTGAAAACACATTCAGTAGTTAATACAAATAAATGATATAATATCAGGCTGTTTTCTGTTTAATATTGTGACGTTTGAATGGGTTTTTTGAGATATAGAATTACTATGAGAAAGTAAATTTTGCCGTGTGGCATTGTCGCCACCTACTGGTGAAATCAATTATCGCAGCCTGAAGAACTTGCATTACCTGATAGGGCTGTTGCCTTTTAATTTGATGTTTAATGGTGATACTGGTTAACTATTCTGCTTGTCTGCACCTTCAGACAGTTATCAGGTATAATTAGACAGCATATACGCCCTAAGACAGAGGTACAACCCTTTTCCTTAAGGGATCCCTTTGCTATCATTGAGGAAAATGGAGCTAAATGACGACCCCTGACTCACTGAAGTGACATATTGTCATGGATATTTCATTATTTCAGTGGGCTATATTCAACGCATGGCAAAAACAGTACAGAACAGTTAATAAACTTTGCAATTAACCCAAAAGAAAGTGCAATAACTGCAGGAAGTTAACATAAAAAGAGTGATTTGGATGGATTTTTAGCAGATTATTGTCTGTGAATATCAGGCCTACATCAGAGATGAGTTTTCCTGATATTTTTAGTAAGTTTTCATATGGTTATTATAACTATTATTTTCTTTTTAACCAATGATACATACAGTACAGATAGGTTTTTTGGTTGTTTGTTTTCTTTTCCCTGACACGTGGCCATTGTTCTAGCTCTAGCAGGAAGTGATTTCACTTAACCTTAACCTTTATTTAACCAGGAAGTCCCATTGAGATTAAAAATCGCTTTTACAAGAGAGACCTGGCTGAGGTAGCAGCTAGTCAAAACACATTTAAAATGCAGCAAATACAACATATAATATAAAAATCCACAACTATTCAAACATAGCGGCCAGTTTCTTTATGATCCCCTTAAATTCATCAATGGATATAAATGTTTCTACTTTTAGATCTATCTGAAGATTGATCTAGAGAATGCAGTTCTCCCCAGATCTGTTAAAACCCTGGGTACTTTAAAAAGCAACCACTTGGAGGAGCATAGCCGGTAACTAGCAGAGCTGACACTCAGAAGGGTGCAGAGGTAGGCCGGAAGTTTGTCCCATATTGCCTTATAGATAAAAATATACCAGTGCTGTAGTCTGCGAGTGGTCAATGATGTCCAGCTCACCAAATCATAAAGAATGCAGTGATGAGTAAGTGACTTTGCATTTGTATGCACATACAGTATTTCACTGCAATCAGCCACAGACAGAAAAGTAGCTTCCACAAGTTTACTTTAACACTGAAAGTAAAATAAGTCTTATTTCAAAAATAAAAGATTAAGTTTGTATTCAGGTCTCCACCGTGCCCATATCCTGTGAAATTTAATTTAAGTTTATATCTTGAATAATAATCTGAACTTCAAAAATAACATTCATTTAGTATTCTTCACAGAAATCTATGTAATTCTGAGATGTTAGCCCACTGTTTATTTATTGAAGTTTTCTTACACCCCTTGCAATCAAGAAGGCCTCACACCCCCATGAAGCTTTGCTTCAGCGACCCCTAGTGGGAGGGTCAGGACCCTTCAGGTTGGGCACCAGTAATCTAAGATTTTACAGAATGGAAAACACTGAGGAAGCAAACTAATATTTTTCATGTCATTATCGATTAAAGCAGCACAGCTGGAATCATGCTTAGCCTAATTTAAAAAAACAAACAAGTCCATTGATAAAAACAAGCGTTTATGTGAAACTAGAGCGGGAAACCACCTGAATTGTAGCCTCTGACAGCGTGGGCGGTGTATGACATGTAGGCCTACATTCTGGGCAGCCTATCTGTGAACACCCACACTATAATTCCTCCTTTTGCACACATAAGCCACAACAAAGTAGTATCATATTTACCTGTCATGTATTGTCTTGGTTTCTGGTTAACATTTTTTTTCCTTTTTGTATTTTTCGCGTTTATTGCTGGTAATCCACAGGGTATCTGTAAAACTTTCCAGCTGTTACAGTTTGAGTATGTCTTAGCAGTGTGAAAGACTTTTAAACAGACAAATAGGTGAATAAAACTACTTTCATCCACGATTAAATTTGTTTGACGGATGGTGGTTAGGAGTCAGCAATGATTGTTCACAAATATTTTAGCACATTAGGGGTCTTTCAGCCACAAATGAAATCTCCATGCAGTCAACCAACGTTATTACTATCAACACAAGTTATTTTAGGTATCCAGCTATAAGACAAAGGCTGTTTTATACTAATTGAGGTCAGAATAACAGGAGTATTGTCATGGAGACACAGAGTATCACCATGGAGTGGACTGATAACCAGCTCACTCTATGTTCTTCAGGAACAAGAAGCCATTTTACCATGTCAAAAAACTCTCTTCTCCTATTCACGTCTAGTGGTCACACACTGCCCTACATAGAACAATAACAGATAACCAGGAAGTTTAACCAGCTGGCGCCTGCGGTGTAAATGTGCAGCCAATATGGGGCAATGGGTAGCAGTACTTCCTGTTGATGTGTTTAACATGATGATAATCAGAACAGAAGTGTCAGGTTTTCGTTGTACTGTCACTGAAGCTTCCCGTGCTGTCAGTTGGCATTTCAATGCCTGACCCAGTCATCTTACTGGTTTTCTGTTCTGCTCTTGACTGGAAGAGATGTTGGCGATGGACGAATAGAACCGTCCCAGAGTTGATGGCGTGCTGCAGTAGGCCGCAGGACCACAGGTCTTGGATTACCTCAGGGGAGGTTGATGATCCGATGTGTTTATTTTCCCAGGAGAGGGTCATGTTACAGTGGTGCTCTCCTGTATAGCTACCCTGTCTTGTCTTGTTTTGAAAGACTGCTCAGGGGAGAGTTGTGTCCAGATTGCCACTTTCACTGGCGGCCCCATTGTCTATATTCTTTCCCTGAGGTTTGAGAAGCTTCTCAGTGGAGCTAGCCGTCCTGACGTATCTCTCTGGAAATCGGTTCTGACAAATGGCTCCTCTGGTGTTTGGAATGTCCTCGTAGGTGAGGTTGCCGTCTGAAAAATGATTTCCAGTGGCGTCAAGTCACAAATGATGCTCTGATGGTGGAAAGGGTGGCCATCTGTGACTAATCCTCACCATCCTGTGTTAAATGGGCGGTTCTTGGTGCTTACACATCCTTTCCTTGTTCCTTGTTCCTTCCATGTACCAGCACACGATTTCGGAGCAAAGAAGAAAAGTTACTTTCAAATATGGTTTGGGGCTTAAAAGTCCAGTATGTAGGTTTTAGTGGTATCTAGCAGTGAGGTTGCAGAATCGAAACTTCTCCCATGTGCCTCGTGTGTAGGAGAACTATGGGGGCTGATGCAAAAACGCGTAATGCAAAAACACAAATGGCCCTGTGTAGAGCCAGTGTTCGGTATATCTGATCTATTCTACTGTAGAAGAACAAGACGGCCTCTGAGGGAGAGGACCTGCTCCATAAATAGATTTGAACGCCTCATTCTGAGGTAATGAAAACACACTATTAGTTTCAGGTGTTTAAACACTAATAAAAACATAAACCATTTCTGCCAGTATATGCCCCTAGATCCTACACACTGGACCTTTAAATAAATCGCTTCATTTGACTGAAGGAGGAACTGCACAACTTCATGTAAAGCCTGCAGTCTCTTCCCCTCTGGCCGATTTCATAATTCACCAACAGTGTGCATGAAAGTGATTTACCATTCAACAATGACTCATTAGCATGGGCGGATTATGAGACAATGGGCCCCCGGACACAGACATGTGAGAGGCACTACCACTTCTCCTACAGAGGAGTGGAAACACACAGACACAACAGATGCTGTGGTGATTTAGCTTTTTGTTGTAGTCATTTAGTGTCTTTTCTGGTCGTCTTGTGTCTCCCTGTAGTCATTTAGTGTCTCTTGTTGGTTGTTTTGCACCTTTTTGTAGCTATTACGTCTCTTTTTAGTTGAATTGTGTGTCTTTGAGGTTGTTTAGCGCTTTTTTGGGGGGTAATTTAATGTCTTTTTGAGGCTTTGTGTGTCCTTGTAGTCATTAAGTGTGTCTTGTTGGTTGTTTTCCCCCTGTCTGTTGTCTCTGTGGTCTTTTTTGTCAATTCCTGGTCGGTGCATGTTAATTTGAGTGACATTTTCAAGGTGAAGGCCAGGGGGCCGTGACACTCCAGACCTGTCCCCAGTTGGCCCTTTCAGTAATCCATCCACAGTCAGCAGCAATGACGTAAGGTAGTTAAGATGGACCACAGTGCACGCTATTATGACGGGACCTAGTGCGTCCTAGGCGTATATTTATTTTACTAATAGTGTTTCTGTCTGCTGCTTTTATCTTTTATCCACTTACAGATGTGCCCAGATTTTGCACCTTAACTAGCTGCTGTAAATCGTATTGTCTTTGAAAATTATTTTGCTTCTCAATCTGTGTATTTAATGTTCAAGGAAGTAGGGATCGACCATTATGTTTTTTTCAGAGCCGATGACGATACGGATTATTATGAAACAGAGATACCGATAGCCGATATTTACAACCGATATATGTCTGCTGTAAAAATCATAGTTGACACAGAATTAAAAAATAAACACTGACAAAGCCCTACAGTCAAATGCAATTAAGCATGTATTTATTCTGAGAACCTTTCCAATGAAACAGTATAGGAAGCTGCCATTAAAAGGAGATTAATAAAAAAATAAATACACAATAATCATGAATACAGAATTTAAAAAATAAAATGTAAAACAATAAAATAAAATAAAAGGAGGCTAAAAAGGTAGGTCTTGAGTTTGCTTTTAAGAGCCTGGAGTGGTACGTGCAGGCAGTGAGAAGCACGCCAGGAGCAAACCAGCGCAGCTAAGGAAAACAAAACTGTATATCGGCATATTGGTGGAAAAAATCACCATTACCGATAACCCTAAAAATTCATAATATCTGTCGACCCCTTACAAGGGAGTGGTGTCCATGACCTTTAAATGTGTTATTGGTATATTTATTGAAAACATGCCCAACTTTAGCATGGTGAAGTTAATATATAACCATGGAGATATGTAATTTCTTCAAAATCTCAAACGTTTTTAAGTGAAAACTCACTTTTTTTTTCATAATAAGTTTATATTCCATCTCACTTCATGGCAGTCTATAATATTCCTATAGGATAACATCACCACAAGGGGTTTGGCTAATTTAGCTCTGGTATGAGGACAGCCTGCTGTATTTTTAAAGAGTATTTAAAGGATTAAGTACGAGCTGTCATCGCTCCTGGGGCGGGCTATTAATATTCTCATCATAACTCATAACTAAAAATCCAGCGTTGGGTTAGACCGCACCTGTGTGCTCCTTGAACGCCGCTCTCCTTATATCAGCGAACTACAACTCCCAGCATTCAACGCGGGGAGCTTGGGAAGCAGAGCTCGGCTCGCTCAAACGCGGAGCTGCTGCAGTTTGCACCCCTACAGCGGCTTTGGGAAGGCGTCAAGCCGCTGGATAAGCGTTTTTTGAACAACGAGGGAACCCAGCGTGGCGTTTCTTTTCACAGCGGTCATTTCAACATGGGGAATGGCATCAATAAGGTAGGGTCTCATCTGTTGCACGCGACTAGCGTTGAGTTCGCGCACACATACATACCAGTGGTCCTCTGGGTGTTGGAGTGCAATTAATCCTCTTCAGCAGAGTATTTGAGGTGTTTATTTAAAAAGTTGTGCCTGCTCATTAGTTAGACGTGTCTTTAATGAATTTAATATAACCGCATTAACTTAAGTGGTCAAACTATGAATCCTTAGGTTATTTTTCTTGTCACATGACCTCAAGTTTAGATTTTAGCCTATCCTTTCTAATTATCACTTCATATTTCAGGGTCTCACTTGTGTCAGCTGTTTGCAGCTCCCTCAGCTGCCTCACTATCTCACTGTATCAATGATGCTGTGACCATGTGTGCTTCACGTGTCCATATATATCTCTGTCCTTATAGGTCCTGCCTGACCTGTATTTGGGGAATTTCAAAGGTGTGTGTACTTAAAAAAAATCATTTTGGTTTGCTTCTTGCATATGACAGCGCATACTCATTTTGTTTGTGGTGTTATTTGTTCATGTCAGATGCAAGAGACCGAGAGCAGTTAGCCAGGAACAACATCACACACATCCTGTCCATTCATGACAGCGCAGCTCCCATCCTCCAGGTGAGAAACTCAACATCTTTGCCCCCAGCGTGCATCTTAAATTTCTCATTAATCTTTCAAGCAGAGTGATCAAGCAAATGAGGCTGAGCAGATCTGACAGGCTGAGACCTGTGTGTGTGTGTGTGTGTGTGTGTGTGTGTGTGTGTGTGTGTGTGAGCACAGTGCATATGATTTTCAAGCTCTCACAGCACAGTCCATTAACCGGTCTGTCAGGTTGTTCGGGAAGAGGTGCCATGCTGCTTCCTTGAGCAAACAGCTGTCAGTCTTGAGTGAGGGAGTGAGTAAACAGCAAACAGGAGAGTTTCATACTCATGTGATAGCTGGAGTTTCATGCAAAATGCAAGTCAACAACAGTTGGTTCAGTCGGTCAGTGTGCTGAGTTGTGTGCCTGCGTGGGCTTTCGAGTAGGCGGCTCGCTTCAGCCAGTGGGGACTGTTCAGTGTCGCTTCATTATTATTTTTTCGAGATGATTGAGTCATATGTAAAGTCTCTCTAATAGCTGCAAGTCATTTTAAAAAAGGGGGCATGCACAAGTGTGACTAAATTGCCTTTATTCTTCCACGTTCAATAGGACAGCATGTGTTCACAATCTGCAGCACGCACACTGAGACCTTGAGAGCGTTGATGTGCATCGGTTTTCCTCACCTGCTGTTTTATTGATTTGTGTTAAATGCATCAGAGCAAGTGACTGCATGCTGACAGGTAACTGGTAATGCTTCATCCCTCAGGAGATGACCTATCTCTGCATTCCAGCAGCTGACCTGCCCACACAAAACCTGTGAGTACTAAAATGTGCAGCACAGCAACATGGCACAGAACAATGAACGGCTGAGGCAGAGAGAGAGAGAGAGAGAGAGAGAGAGAGAGAGAGAGAGAGAGAGAGAGAGAGAGAGAGAGAGAGAGAGAGAGAGAGAGAGAGAGAGAGAGANAGAGAGAGAGAGAGAGAGAGAGAGAGAGAGAGAGAGAGAGAGAGAGAGAGAGAGAGAGAGAGAGAGAGAGAGAGAGAGAGAGAGAGAGAACCACATCCATTTGAGGCTGCACTGTGTGGGCGTCTGAGGTTCATTTTCTTAGAGCTAACGTGTAAATGATATGCTCTCACAAGCTCAACATTAAACTGTAAACTTATTCTCCGACTGGCTCACAGTAACACGGCTGGGTGCAGCTCTCTGACATGAAGACATGACATGCACAAACACATGCTTTTGTTTTTATGTGACGTGGGAAACTGGGGAAGCAAAATCAAGAGTGGTGCATGCATCACTAAGACACACACACACACACACACACACACACACACACACACACACACACACAAATAAATCCACTATGGCCAAATTCACATATCAGGCAGTCTTTGAGCAGGAAGGAAGTCTCAGTTCTGCAGCTTTAGCGCTATGGTTGGTGCTGTGCCTCTATTAATACACAACCCCTCACCCTTCACACACTTGCACACACGTATATATGTATATATATATATACACACACAGACACGTACTGTATAAATGCACACTAATGCCCTTGTCACCCTGACTGCCCCTGGTTACCCCATACCTGCTAGGTTCACTGTGCGAGGTGTTCGCAACCTGTTATGCGAAACATGACACCATCTCTCTCAAACCTGACATGAACACACCCCCATCCTGATTCATCCAGGATAAGAAATAAAAAAGGTTTGACAAGTCAGGTGCAAAAACATACACACAGCATGCACAAAAACCTCACGAGCATACAACCAAACCACCACTAGATGCATGCAGGAGCTCTAAAGAGTCAGGGAGGACAAAAAAAAAACAACAACCCAGCACCACAGAGCTGTTACAGCAGTTTTTGCAGTGTTCTCATTACGGTTTAATGTGGCTTGTTATAACAAACACTTTTTATGCTCCACAGGACTCAGCACTTTAAACAAAGTATAATGTTCATGCACGAGTCTCGCCTGAAAGGGGAAGGCTGCCTCGTTCACTGGTGAGAGCAAGACTGCTTGTTCTGTCTTTACTTCAAAGCTAGAATCAAGGTTCCCGCACACAAATTAGAGATGCTGCTCAAGTAGCCGAGCTAGATAGATTTCCTCCATCTATCTTATAATGCAGTCATAGACGTGTTGATTATATGTGTTCAGTTCATCTAAAGCTGGGGAAGAAAAAAGAGATCAACCAAGTGCACAAGTGCACTCATGCGTTACTGCTGCACAGAGGGGATTCAGTGATAAGCAAATGCCTATTCTTGAACTTCCCAAAAAAGAGTACAGTAACAAGTTTGACCACATTGCTGACCATGTGTTCACAGGGGAAAGTTATATCTGGTTAGACAGAGGGTCTTCTCAGAAATACAGGGGAACAACAGGCTATTTATACGACCTGCATTGCCACAAGTTTTTCTACTACGCTTAGTGAGCAAAGAGTGTCGATTTCATTCACACGTGTAGTTTGTAAGGTGTGTATTTAATCAGTTTCTACACCTCAGTCTACACAGTTCTTGTATTTCATTCTCTGTCTATCTGTCACTGTGTAGTCTGGATGGCGTGTCACCTACTGATACTATTACTGGGAACCTTTAGGCTGGTTTATGTCATCTTCATTTAGAAGGTTTCAACCTCTTATTCTCATACAGTGTTTTTTCACATGCACATTAGTATCTTGGTTTTGAATTTGTTTTTATACATTGAGGAAATGCTTAAGTGTCACAGTATCCTGGATTTTGACATAGAATATTGAGGTTTCTCAAAGCCCAGGATAAGAGCGTCAGTGGCGGTCCAAGTGGGGCTGGGTGGCCGCCTCCGTACCAGCGATAGCCGTGACCAGAGGCATTATGATTTCTGTCCGTCTCATTCTTGTGAATGCAATATCTCTTTTCAAATTTGGTACAACTGTCCACTTGGACTCAAGGATGACATGATTAGAATTTGGTGGTCAAAGGTCAAGGTCACTGTGACCTCACAAAACATGGTTTTTTTTTTGCCAAACTGCAGGAATTCATACACTAATTCTAAAAAGAAAAATTGCATAGAAATCCAACAGGTCAAAGGTCAGCTTCACTGTGACATCATAACGCTCTGCAAAAACACTTTACTGGCGATTATTCCATGTCACAACTCAGGAACAGAAGGGGAGACATTTGGGAAGATACTGAATTTGTGACTCTAATCTTGGGTACCCACCTTGAAACTGTGATCGTAAAGATCTTCTGTGCTGTCGGGGGGAAGATGTGTGTGAAGCATCCATGTTTTTACAGACATGGATGTAAACTGTAACTGCAACTTAACAGGAGCATGGATGCGTAAAACCGCGAGGCCATAATTCTGGTTTAAGCTAGTGCAAAGGTAGTGGTATCTTGGGAAACTAGACAACCTAAGGCCGTCCACGTTGTTGGTAGAGGGGCTAAATAATGCTCCATAGTTAGGCCAGAATTTGGCAAAGGAACAACTGGCATGACCATTTTCGAAGTGGTCCCTTGAACTCTCACCTCAAGATAAAAGAATGAAAATGGGTTCTATGGGTACCCACGAGTCTGCCTAAAGTTTAGGAGGCTTCTCCCGTACAGTGTTTTGTTTCTTACAATTAATTTAGTCCTTCAAATTGAAGCTGCATTTTTGTCTTTTTAGGGAAAAGCACCACAAGCCTATGTAAAGAACAATGAATCACCTGACATTTATAGATGCAAAACACATTAAAACAGGATGTGTGTGAAACTGAAAATGTTAGCTGTGCCAATATTAATCTTTGCACATCAGATTATTAGTAATATGAACTGTAAAATAAGAAACCAACATTTTTCTTTGCATTTTGACTAAGTTTTCAACAAGCCTATTGCTTCAACAACATAATCTAATTCCTGAAATTCAGTTATGGATTTTGGTTTTGGTGTGTCACCCTAAAATTTTCTGTGGCCCCATCTGGCCCCCCCTATGGTAAAATTCTGTGTGTGCCACTGAAGTACTTATTTGCATTTGTGAAACCAGGATATACGTTACTTGTGCAAAACACGATCATAAGCAGGATGCTAATGTGCATGTTGACACACTCTTTGATAACTATATTTATCCATTCAAATGGAAAGCACTTTTCGCCTAGTGTTGAAAAATAATACCAATCATGTAACAGTTTATTTCATGCATCATACTGTCTGTCCACTCCTTTTGTCTTACAGTTTGGCAGGTGTGTCCCGCAGTGTCACCCTGGTAGTGGCTTATATCATGACGGTGACAGGACTGGGCTGGCAGGAGGCGCTGGCTGCAGTGAGGGTGGTTCGGCCCTGTGCTGGACCTAACCTGGGCTTTCAGCGCCAGCTCCAGGAGTTTGAGGCTACTCAAGCTGAGCAGGTCAGTCTTGTGAAGTGAGGGAGGGTGCGATAGAGGACAAGAGAGTGTGGGATATATCAGTGCATTACTGAATAGATGTACAGAGATAGAATGCTAGATGTACTATTACCATTTTGCATTTTGTAAAGTCGTTGTCAAAAGACAAGTTGTTTTTCTCCCCTGTAGTTCAGAGAATGGCTACAGAAGGAATATAAGGACAACCCCTTCAATGATGAGGCCGAGCTCCGTGATTTGCTCGCCAGGACGTCTAAAGTCAATGGCGTGGAGGTGGAAAAACAGACTACCCCACCTGAAGCTATCTGATCGGATCTTTGATGAGATATTTTGCAACTCAGCTTGGAGGATCACACCACCACTGTGCTACAGTACTCTGGACCTTATCTGAAAGTCTATTGTGCTTTGGAGCAGACTACTGTCAGGATGTTTATCACTGCTGGAGCGATCCTCCAAAAATCATGGACATGAACATTGAAAGAGACAATCAACATGTACAGGGCATTTTCATTTTTAGTTTGAGCTGATGTTTCTGGTGCTGTTGTATTTTCTAATTTATGAATGTTGTGTTTTTTTTGTACTGTGTCACGACGATTTCAAATTGTGAAATAAAAGGAGACAAGTCGAGTGTTCTGTGAGGCTGTCAGTCGGTGGGCTGTCGTATTTGAAGGTGATAAGAACACAGTGCTGTGTTTACATCTCTGTTTCCTGGTTGTCTTCCTGTTTGTCTAATGTGCAAGGGAGGTCATGCATGGTGACATCAAAAACACCAAGATCACGCTGTTTTATCACTCTGTCTGCTCATTTGTCTTTAGAAACTATAAAGCATTGAAAAAACATTAATTTCAGAATGAAGAGATAAAACTTACAGTAGTCTTTTTTTAATCTTAAAATAGCTGGGCGTGCTCTTGGTTAGCCACTGGAGGGCAGTAATACTAAAGTAGCATTATATGTTGGATTCAGCCATGTGTCTTCTGATATTAGTTGCTCATGCTTCAATTCAGTCTTTCCCCTGTAATACAATTTAGACTACAGAAATTTGTAGTCAACAGCTGTCACTGGAAATTAGTTTGCACTCACAGGCTTCAAGAGAAAAACAAAAATATGTATGGGAAATATTTTTTTAGGGGGGGGGGTTGATAATGTGCACAGGTAAGTGTTCCATTCCATCCTGGTGTCTGCTCAGGGTGTCACAAGAGGGATTCCCCACCGAAAGCCCTGCGTGGGTGCTGAGTTTCACAGAAATGAGCGCCTGCTTGCTGCGCATCTCCTCTTGAACTTCTCAGAGCCCGACAGGCTCCTCCCTGTAGCAAATCAAGATGCGCTAACGTTTAAGAAAAGGACAACAAGGGCTTCAAAACAGATTTCAGCGGGGAGAGCTCACATGATCAACGGTAAGCAGCAGCAGCAGCAGCAGCAGCTCCTTTTAAATGAATGACTTATGTTTTTAACATTGTAAGTTAATTAGTAACAGTATCAGTTAACAGCAGCAGTTTGAGTCAGGGGAAGATGCCTGATCTCAATCACTCATCTGTACAAGTTTGGCAGGTGAAATGTAAAGATAACAGGCTTGTCTTTCAACTTAGACTTTCTGGCAATTAAAGTAATCTTAAATATTACTAAAGTTGAATTAATGACCTACTTAATTGGTGACATTAACAAACATGTGATATCTTATTAGCATGCATTCCACATTGCATTGTAGTTGTGTCAAAACTCTTAAAATTAAGATATAGCTGTGCGTGTTACTCAAGTGAGTCACATTAGTTTTCTCTGCCAGAGATGAAAACTGTGCTAAACCTGATAAAATCAATGACACACTTGGGCCTCTACTATCTTACCCTTCCTTTATAAGTCAGCAACTTGAAATCAGCATGGCCAAACGTGTCAAAACCATGCTCAGATGACTACAGTGCGTATTTAGTGGCTCCTGATATTACAAAGGAGAAGCATGGAGCAATTTTACCTAGCAACTGTAATAATGATAACTTGACCTTAATATCTTATTCTTGTCAGACTCAAGTTAATTTAAAAAAAAAAAAAAAAATCTTACAGCCAAAAAAATAAAATTTATCTGCTTCAACTAAGTGTGCCTTCTGTTACCTGTTTTATTTTCTGTTGCAGAGATGAACATGGATGAGGACAGTGGCCTGGCAGTCGGCTGCGGCAACGGCAAACTGAGACAGTGGCTGATCGATCAGATTGACAGCCAGAGGTATCCTGGACTGGTTTGGGAAAATGAGGAAAAAAGCATCTTCAGGATTCCTTGGAAACATGCAGGGAAACAAGACTATAACAGAGAGGAGGATGCTGCGCTCTTCAAGGTCAGACTGCCCCGCTTAACTTCTCACACTGCACCTGAAGCCTCTCACATTTTAAACCCTCCATTGCATATGTATAACTTCTAAATATGTAATAATGCAGTGACTCTAAGAAGGTGATTTAGGTTTTGTTATACTTGTATTAGTGTCTTCAAATGGTTTTCTAGCTAAAAATGAACAGATGCGTTCATGTATTAATTAATCAGAGCCCTAACTTTTAAATTTCTTGGTGCAAAAACAGAAGTGTAAATCTATTCAATGATTGTTTCAGGCCTGGGCATTGTTTAAGGGGAAATATAAGGAAGGGGTCGACAAGCCAGATCCCCCCACATGGAAAACCAGACTACGCTGTGCTCTCAATAAAAGCAATGACTTTGATGAGTTAGTGGAAAGAAGCCAACTGGACATCTCTGACCCCTATAAAGTCTACAGAATAATTCCAGAGGGAGCCAAAAGAGGTAAGTGTGTGTGACTATCATCCATCAAGAATGCAGTGCACTTTGTGAGAATTACATTCAGCCACCCATGTACGTGGTGACAGATGAAACAAGGTGAGTGAAATAGTTTATGGTTCACATTTGAGCAGTAAAATCTAAAGCCATGCTGTTGCAATAGTTCACTTGCATATACACCACACTGCTGCGTCTCACAAAGCATCTCACATTGTTTACAGACTATTGGCAATTTTTCACATACATATGCACCACTGCAGTTGTTTCTGATGAGGCAGGAAGCACAAAGGAAGCCAAAGCATGTACCAAAAAGGCCGTAGTGCTTTTTTTAGAGGGCTTCGGTTACTAAGCGCAGGGTGCACATAACACAGCCAGGCGACCTCCAGCCTTGCATAACTAAGTCTCTGCCATCATTCGACTGTTTTTGTCACACCAGAGTAGTTTTTGCTATCTGAGCGAACAAATTGAAATCAACAGGATTCAGATTGGCATTTGCCTCGGTGAAAATAGCAGGAGCTCACAAGGGCACAAAACATATTTGCAGTTTGAAGCTGCTAAAATGGATCAGGTTAGAAAGGTTCACGGAACTTTGTGTCTCACATGTTCTCAGTTTATTGCAAATCTGCACAATGAAATTCTGTTATGAGCCTGGTTTATTTTCAAAGATGTAAAATCATTTTGCATTGCAATGTCTTCATAGCAAAGCATGGCTAATATTGTGCACAAATTATCTGACAAGTCTGGTTTTGTACATTTACAGGGATGAAGATGAATGTGGAGGAGACACCATCACATGTAAATGCCCTCGGCTATGTTCCTCCATATACGTCTCTGCACAACCAGGTCAGCAGATGTTGGAGCTGCTGCATGCTTTAGCCTGGTCCAAGCAAATAAATGAACGTGCACTATTACTGGTTGCAGATGTGCCGGTTTACTGACATCTTATCTTACTGACCATCCCTATGGTTCTTCCTCAGGTATCTGGCTTTATGGTTTCTCAGGAGAGAAGGGACTGGAGGGATTACTCACCCCCAGAGCAACAACCTCTGCCACCTCCACATCACCACGGGCCACATGCAGAGCTGCAGTACGGTCAGTGCCACTACCCACCGCCGTTCAGCCGAGCTTGGCCGGGGTCACATACAGAAAATGGTAAGAGATAGAGAGAATAGATAGATTTCATGTATGCAAGTGTGACTGTGATGCTCAGCAGATACAAAGCATGATGCAATTTTTTATCTTAAATTGAATCTAGGTTAGAATATTAGCATTTTTCACACATATACGAGCCAAATAATGGCATCAATTTTCAGCCACAGGCACCTATAGCAGTGACATCCTGTTATTCTTCTTATCAAACGAGAAGTCTGAGATGGAATGAAGTTGTAGCCTCACTCATGAACATGTAAAGAGAGTTTGTAATCACGCTTGTTTCATTGTTTAATGCTCCGATCCATCCATGAACAGAGGCCTTGGCAGGTCATAACGTAGTGTCAGCGACTTGTAGATTGCCAAGTTTAAAGGTTATCACAACCTTTCATATAAAGGTTACAATAGAATTCAAGTTTGATCTTTAAGGTGGAAAGAAAACGTCACAACCAAAAGTTTAAAGACTGTTTAGTCGCTCACATTTTTATGTAGAAACAAGAAAAAAAGGTTAGGTTTGGGTCATAGGTAAACCCCATAAAAGCCTGTGGTTGTAAACAAGTAAGGCACCAAACAGTTGAAGGAGCCTTAATGTCACTTCACTAAAGCGTTAGGTCTATTCATAGAAGCAATATCAAGGTTGAAATTACTATAGAAAGCATTAATCAGTGAATTATACGCTGAATTTTAATGTAAACTAACAGGCCAGTGTTTAAAAACAATACTGAGCAGCAACTGCAAATTACTGTGTCCTTATATATTAATTTAATCTTCTGATGTGCAAATAATAAAGCTAGCTAAACGTAGCTGTAAAGTCATTTTGCATGGTACAATGCACATGATTAAACAAAGAACACTGCACTACATGTACACTATTTAAAGGAAATAAACGCATATTTGCCAGCTATTTTGGTCAGGACAGTCTTGACAAGAACAACATGCATTTGAGTTCGGTGATGTTGCTTGTGATGCCCAAGAACCTGAGGCAAATTCTGGGACACAAATGATATCGTTATGATAAGACAAACATGTGCAGTCCCCATGATGCTGATACAAGTGCAGGCCGAAGAGCAAGCAGGAGCGAAGTGACTGGGAAACAGGCGGCGGTTGGTTTAGCAGCTATGCACTACTGATCAGTGGTACATGCAGCAAAGTGCCTAATTTGTTTATGTGGACGGGCTGGTTGTTTTTTTGTATGACTTGTGTGAAGATGTGTGAAGCATGACTTCTGTGCCTGCTCAATCCATCGCAAGCTTTCAATACATTTATTTAATGGGATTTTTCATATATTCACATATTGGCATCCAATATGTCTAATCTAATCATGACCAAACATTTTGTTAATTTATTCTGTGCAGGTTTTCAGCTCTCCTTCCACACCTACCTTTCAGAATCCCAACCACCTGTGTATACAATGGACAATAATGCAGGTAACAACACACACAGGTAAAGAATAATCCTGGGCTCGTCTAAGGACACATGCACACAGGCCTTTGCTGTCATGCTTGTTTACTATTTTAAAAAAAAATTTGCATTCGCAGATAAGAAATAACAAACACTTTGTTCAACACCTACTTACTTCCCTATTCTGAGCTCAGAGCAGCAGACCGTGATATTGTATTGAGAGGTTTTTTTTTAATCTATCACATGATGATAGATTAAAAAGAGAGAGGGTTAGAAAGATACTTGGAATGATAAGGTTACTGAG